TCCTTTAGAGGTCTTCAGGAAACTTTTAGAGGTCCTCAGACCTGCACAGGTCTGCAGGAGACTTTTAGAGGTCTTCAGACCTGCACAGGTCTGCAGGAGACTTTTAGAGGTCTTCAGACCTGCACAGGTCTGCAGGAGACTTTTAGAGGTCCTCAGACCTGCACAGGTCTACAGGAGACTTTTAGAGGTCTTCAGACCTGCACAGGTCTGCAGGAGACCTTCAGAGGTCCTCAGACCTGCACAGGTCTGCAGTTTTCTGTTCCACCTGAGCATGTCAGGCTGCAGGTAAGCCTGTGCAGGAGTGGGCGGAGCCTCCTGTGACCTGGATCAGGTGAGCTCAGTGTTTCAGTCGTCTTGCTGTCGGCGCTGCAGAGCTTGTGAACACAAAGAACTCTCAGTGAGATCCTGAAACGGCCTCTGGCACCGAGCTCACCTGTCACTCCTCAGCGTCCCCTTTCAGGTACGCTCTGTGGGAAACCGCCCCCGGCTGCTGTCGCCACGGTGATGTGGCTGATTGTGTGTCACACTGAAACTGAGGAGGACTCAGAGTTCAGGTCTACATGGACCGGTTCCACACAGGAGTCCAACACAACCTCAGGTTTCAGGTCTTTATGGACCGGTTCCGTACAGGAGGTCCAACAGAACCTCAGGTTTCAGGTCTTTATGGANAACCTCAGGTTTCAGGTCTTTATGGACCGGTTCCGTACAGGAGGTCCAACAGAACCTCAGGTTTCAGGTCTTTATGGATCGGTTCCACACAGGAGGTCCAACAGAACCTCAGAGTTCAGGTCTGGGGACAGCAGTTGTTTATAAATCAAACACAAAGTTCTGATGGGAGGACGGGGAGTGAAGTTCTGACAGAACTCTGAAGTTCTTCTGAGAAAAGTTCTTTTATTTTCAGCAGGAAAGTTTAAACTGAACCAGAACTTCTCCTCTGAGCCCGCCCGGTCCAAACTGTATGTCCATGTTGGTGTCGTGCTGAGGKCAAAGGTCACATTCAGACAGGAACTGTACCCATCAGAACCAGATCAGGCATGAACTGGACCCACAGAACCAGTCCTGTGTTTTGCTAAGGCCTCTGCAGGATGTTTGGTGTGGAGGTGCGTGCGTGGTGGTTCTACCGGGCTCTTGCAGGTAATCTGGAGCTGGCACGGTCCTGACCTGCAGGTGTGACTGACAGGTAGTAATCTGCTGTCACACACACCTGCCTGGAGCTGTCAGTGTGAGTGGCAGCTCTGATTTACAGCACATACTTTGTGTGGGTGCGTGAGAGCAGCTGGCTCTGAACACATCAGCTCTGCTGGCTGCAGGTCCAAACTTCAACCTGACTGATGTTCAGATTTAATGAAGAGCTGTTTGTCCCACATCCTGTCCATGTGAGAACATGAACGTGCAGCCACAGCCTGTTCTGATCAAACCTGAAGAAAAACACAGTCATTTACAAAACTCACATCTTTATGGTCATGGTGAGTGGAGATGGATGAAGAACAGATGGGCGGGGCTTCCTAAGTTCATGTTTGGATCCGTCTCATCAGAGCTGAGCTGCAGTTTGAATATTTATTATTAAAATTATTGTTATTCTTATGAATRTTTGTGTTTCTCCTCTGACTTGTTGAATGATTGATTGGTATTTGAACGCTCCCTGTGTCAGCAGGTTTAATAATCCTCTGAATGGATCCCTGCAGGGCCCGTGTGAACAGGAGCTTTGGATCGAGGTATATATCTGTAAACTGACTTGAATGAACTCGCAGCAGCGTCTAAGTCTGGCTGTCGGCCATCATCAGCCTTAAAGCCTGGCTCAGAGGCACTTCAGAGCTCCGGGTAGGTGAGCTCCTGCAGGTTTGTGTTGCAGTGAATTAGCCGCAGCTCAGTGCGAGCACGGACCTGCTGTCAATCATCGTTTCAGCTCAGGCTCCAGGAAATAGTCTGTATCGTTTTTAAATTAAAGGGATCCCTGATTAGTTGTAACATTAGACTTTATTTAATAAACATTTATTTTAACTGTAAAATAAAGACTGTAAAAATACTGTAGGCGGTTTAGTTTTGTAAAATTTAAAAATATATATTTTAACATGGATGTAGCC